TCGGGTATGGATCGCTTGATTTTAATGAATATTATCATGTCATGAGTGATACTGATGTGTCCAATGAAACCATTGTTGACCCTATGATCGATGAAAATCTGGAACGTGCCATCTATAACATAAGTTACCAAGTTGGTTTTGGGGCCGGTTTTGGTGTGGGCCGGGATGTAGGCCGATTTCTTAGTAAGTAGCTTGTTAAGTTGCTAATATTTATTAATAATTTATTAATAATTTATTTATTAATTATTGTTGTGATATGAAAACAAATTAACATAGTGTTTATCTAGTCTACTTGATAATTAATATTCTATACTAAAAATGAGATATGATCTTTTAAAAATTACAATATTAAAAATTCACTATTTAGCAATATAATTTATTTTTTCTTATTAAGCTGTAAATGTTTTTAAAAATATTTTATGTATAGTATTTATATCATTTTATAAATACAATTGGACGTGAGATGATAATTTTTTTTAACTTGAAACCATATTAACTATAAACATTTTTAAAACACCAATATCACCTATTTAATTCATTTCGGTATTATAGTTGGCCTTTTTAATCAAAATCTTTTATAACTTACTATACTTTTTAAAATAATCATGATAATTTTATTTTTTAAAATTCATACCATATACAATAAATAAGCATTAAAAATTGTATTAATAGTAACTGGTAATGTTAATTAATTATGCTAAGATATTCATTATACCTGTATTATATATTAACTTACATTATAAACATAACTAATACCTACCGTTCCCTCCATTTCCCTTAATTAGAGGGCGTGAAAGACGGTGCTAAAGATGGCGCCAACGATAAACGGAAGGATAAGAAGAATAAATACTTTTATTAAACTTATTCATTTTAAAAGTATGATAGAAGTTTAATAAATATTTCATATACAGTAAACGCTACATAGCAAAAACCTTTAAATGGTTTTAGGCGTACACAAATGTCATGTGTCCGGTGAATTTAAACATAAAGCATACTCTCTGAAATACATATTCCTATACATATTCTTAGCATACAGTTCATGCTATTTACTTTCAACTAATTTATTGAATGTTTGACATAAATTAGATATGTGTGAATTACTGTACAGTATATGTATAGTCATTATTAATTAACATTTAAAATTTTTATGAAAATGAGTTTTAATATAAAACAATTAAACATTGATTTTATGAATCAAATCAAATTCAAATCAAATTTTTAATTTTCTATTTATTTTAAAAATAATTTAATTTGTAACAATTACATCTTGCTAAAACAAATTCATGAAATAAGTATAAATCTCAGAAATCAACTTAAAATACAATTTATAGCGAACTTAGCGCCGTCTGCCGGTGTGAACGTTCACATAACCACCGCCTGCACCGCCACCTCCACCCCCACCGCCCGCATTAATATCCGTACCGCCGGATGTAGGAGCTGAACTCGGGGCGGATGTAGGTGCGGATGTTGGCGCTGAACTGGGAGCCGATGTCGGAGCTGAACTCGGGGCAGATGTGGGTGCGGATGTAGGCGCTGAACTCGGGGCAGATGTAGGTGCGGATGTAGGCGCTGAACTCGGGGCAGATGTAGGTGCGGATGTAGGCGCTGAACTCGGGGCAGAACTTGGGGCCGATGTGGGCGCGGAAGTGGCACCATTAGACTGGGCTTTAGTGAGCTCCCGACCCCACAAAACTAACACAAATAATACAATAAATGCTTTAAACATATCTCAAGTTTGTATAACCAGTACTAGTATTGTGTACGAAAAGTAATTTAGTATTAACTGCTAATGGCTTAACCCTTTTACTACGAAACCAGTTGGCATCCAGTTAATTTATATACTTTGTTAATCATATGCCATGGAATTATTGTTTACGTAATAACTAAACTTGGTGTTACCAGGGTTAATCAAATTAAGTAGTTGCAGCATGTGAAAATTAATTGATATTTAAAAATATTTTTATAATTAAAAATACGCTACATAAAAATAATAATAGCTTTTAATTTTAAAATATGAGCATGTATTTTAAGTACGGTTAATTAATTATAATATTTATTTGTCCTAGATAATAGCCTGGTGATGCTATGTCTTAAAATTATATAATATAATTCATTTATTTTCCTATAAGTCATAGCATTGACAAAAATTTCCAAAAACTATGTTTTTGGCAATTATTTATAATAATTTGATATACAATTGATTATCTTTATAAATATTTATTATTCATGTAAATAATTCATGCTATAATAACTATTATTAATTACACATTTATTACCCTATCATTACAAATTAAAATTTACTTTAATAAAATTATTTGTGCTTAATTGAATTTAAGTTTATTTTATTTTATTAAATAGCCATATACAATTTTACTAGTTATTATAATACTCAAGTAAATTAGTTTATAAATATGATGGAAAAATATTTAAGCAAGTTTATTTGTTTATTAAAGTCAACATTAATCTCGGTAACCTTTTGTGTTAATCCAATACTAGGTTTTTACTGCTGAGAACACCCAGGGCACATACATATATTTAACAATTAAAGTTAATCCCGTTGTTACGGGTAAAATACAGGTATAATAATAATACTATGATATCATTGATAATTAAATATTAATACAAATAATTCCACATTAAGTTTAACACACTTTGCTAAACTGTGAATAACATGCTTAGTAATACTGTTGTATCAAAAATGTCATTTTAATAATAATAACATAAATCATATTAATAGAGCGTGTTTTGTGAATGTGTTTAGAAAGCTTTGTGATTACATTTTATATTTAATATTTAATTTTCTGAAAAATATTTTTATAATTTAATTAATAATTACAAATAATGAATGTACAAATTTTATTAAAATAATACTAAATATTTGATAAATATTAGCTACAGTTATACAGTACATAAACATGAATACTTTATTACTAGTAATCATAAACTTAAATTTATAGATAATTAATTATACCACAAATACCTTGTACCTAATATGTAGTACCTAAACAACTAGTAACTCCCGTTCCGCTACAAAAGCTTTAATGGCATCCATGACCACACACTTATCGATACCATCGGTGACCAAAACACTGTGAACTCCGACCCCTCGGAGGTCCTTAATATTGCGGATCTCATCGTCGAAAAACAGCATTTCTGACAATTTTGCGCCACTTTGACGCCTAATCTTATCGAAATGTGCCAATTTGGACCCTGGGTACATTTGTTTATACGTGAAATACTTGTCCCAATCATACAGTTTCAATAGTTGTTGCGCCCCTTCAGCCCACGGGGTCCGGGAGGCCACGGCTAACGTATAGCCTAATGCTGACAGTGTTTGTAGTATTACCGGCACTTCAGGGTAATAGCCGTCGAGTGGGCGCCCGGATGTGTCGACTCTCGCAATGTGGAGGCCATTGATATCTGTGTGGAACGGTAGCCCAGTTTTGTAGTCCTCCACATAGAAAGGCCATAGAGTGAAGTCCAGGTCGAAGATAATGATCTTTAAGTGGTTTACTTTGTTTTGCAAGTAATCCATGTGTTAGATGATAGGGTATGTAGTGATAAGTTTATGAACAATATTAACAACAATGGTGTTATAGACTAAAATTATAGTTTAATTAAAATTTTTGTATGTTGTAACTTGATATAAATTATAATAGTACAATAATTCACTTGACTTTCTAGGTTTATATATTAGATAGGTTTAGTCTATTTTAATTAAATCAAAATTGATATGAACGAGCTATTTATATACTGGTAAATTTTGAAATACATATTATGAGCACATTATGTTACAAAAATATTGATCCGTATATTACATGTACGTGAAAAATATTTACAATTATATGTAATGATTATTAAGATTTTTGTAACAGAAATTCTCATTACCTTACATTACCATGCGTAATTTTGTAAACAGGATCCTTTATGAAAAATGCAATCCTTGTTATATTTGTTATTGAAAATCATTTTTATTTTCTTACTTAATATACAAATAACGAAAACATAATTTTATTTTCACATAATATTCAAAAATATTTTTAACAAAAATATATAATTATATAAAAACATACGAAACTTATAATACGATTATAATGCATTAATTATGATTATGTATAATGCACATATTTATTACATAATTAACCCTGATTATTCAGACCGCCTACCAGCCCCACCACCCGATCCTACGCCCCTATTTCCACCCTTTAGACTACTTCTATTAGTCTTACGTTTCGACCCTTCATTCTCATCCCCGTCCTCACTGTCCTCATCACCCGTCCCTCTCTTATTCTTAGACCCCTTTCCCTTTTTACTACTCCCAGTCCCCTCACTATCTTCATCTTCCTCCTCGTCATCATCTCCACCACCTTTGCCTCCCTTTCCCTTTCTTGACTTTTTCCCTCCCTTTCCATTATCTTCGTCATCTTCATCATCATCACCCTGTCCTCCCTTTCCCCTCCTTTTTCTTCTCCTACTACCGCTTCCTCCCTCATCATCCTCGTCCTCGTCCTCATCGCCTTTACTACCTTTCCCTTTACCTCTCCCTCCTTTACCTCCCTTTCCCTCATTATCCTCCTCCTCATCACCAGAACCTCCCTTTCCTTTCCTTTTACTTCTGCTTCTCTTTCCCCCGCTCTCCTCGTCTTCCTCCTCATCCCCCTCTTCACCACCACTACCCTTACCTTTCCTTTTGCCTCCCTTTCCCTTTCCTTTACCCCTACCGTCGTCCTCATCCCCTTCCCCGTCATCGTCCTGTTTCTGGTCACCCGCTCTCTTGCCCTTTCTTTTACCTCCCTTTCCCTCCTCATCACCCTCTTCATCCTCATCCCCACCTTTGTTACCTTTTTTGCCTCCCGTTCCCTTATTTCTACCGCCGCTTTCATCCTCGTCCTCCTCATTCCCATCTGTTTTACCCTTTCTTTTTCCTCCCTTTCCGTTACTATCCTCGTCCTCATCATCTTCTCCGTCGCCTCCCTGTCCTCCCTTTCCTTTTCCTTTGCCTCCCTTTCCGTTACTATCCTCGTCCTCATCATCTTCTCCGTCACCTCCCTGTCCTCTCTTTCCTTTGCCTTTACGTCCCTTTCCCTTACTATCCTCTTCCTCGTCATCTTCTCCATCGCCTCCCTGTCCTCCCTTTCCTTTTCCTTTGCCTCCCTTTCCCTTACTATCCTCTTCCTCGTCATCTTCTCCATCGCCTCCCTGTCCTCCCTTTCCTTTTCCTTTGCCTCCCTTTCCGTTACTATCCTCGTCCTCATCATCTTCTCCGTCACCTCCCTGTCCTCTCTTTCCTTTGCCTTTGCCTCCCTTTCCCTTACTATCCCCGTCCTCATCACCACCATCTTCATCATTCCCTCCATTTCCTTTGCCTCCCTTTCCTTTATTCTTTCCTTTGCCTCCCTGTTGGTCATCCGACTGATCCCTGTCCTCTTCGTCCTCATCTCCTCCGTCGCCACCCTTTTGACCTTTTTTCTCCTTATCCTTTCCCTTCCGGCCTACCGTTCCGTCGCTACGTATAAAATCGTCGCCGGAGTCGTCGTCCCCCTCCTGGTCCTCATCCCTGGGCTTAGGCTTCGGTTTATTCCTATTCTTCTTATCCTTCCGTTTATCGTTGGCGCCATCTTTAGCACCGTCTTTCACGCCCTCTAATTAAGGGAAATGGAGGGAACGGTAGGTATTAGTTATGTTTATAATGTAAGTTAATATATAATATAATGACTATCTTAACACTTAGCATAATTAATTAACATTACTAGTTACTATTAATACAATTTTTAATGCTTATTTATTGTATATGTTAGGTATTTAAAAAATAAAATTATCATGATTATTTTAAAATGAATATTAAGTTATAAAAGATTTTTGATTATAAAAATCCAACTATAATACCGAAATGAATTAAATAGGTAATATTGGTGTTTTAAAAATGTTTATAGTTAATATGGTTTGAAGTTTAAAAAATTATCATCTCACGTCCAATTGTATTTATAAAATGATATAAATACTATAAATAAAATATTTTTAAAAACATTTACAGCTGATGAGTAAAAATAAATTATAGTGCTTAATAGTAATATTGTAATTTTAAAAAGTTCATATCTCATTTTTAGTAGAGAATATTAATTATCAAATACACTAAATAAACACTATGTCAATTTATTACCATAGCACAACAATAATTAATAAATAAATATAAATAAATTAGTAATAAATATTAGTAACTTAGCAAGCTACTTACTGAGAAATCGGCCTACATCCCGGCCCACACCAAAACCGGCCCCAAAACCAACTTGATAACTTATGTTATAGATGGCACGTTCCAGATTTTCATCGATCATAGGGTCAACAATGGTTTCATTGGACACATCAGTATCACTCATGACATGATAATATTCATTAAAATCAAGCGATCCATACCCGAACTGATCCATGTCTTGGCCACCACTGGGTCCGCCCCCACCACCACCACCACCTCCTCTACCATCACCTCCTCTACCACGACCTCCCATTCCACTCCTACCACCACCACTGAGATCTCTATTGCCACCCCTATTATTGTTATTACGGCCGTTATTACGAGGATCACCACCTTGCTCATCATCGTAGTCATCGTAATCATCAGGACGATTACCACGGTTATTGCGATTATTTCTACCCTGATTACGTCCACCAGAATCACTGCCAGTATCATAGTCTTCATCGTCATCACCACCACTGCCACCCCTACCCCCTCTACCACCGCTTCGGCCGTTATTACTGCCAGACCCTCTTCCGGAGTTCCGATTATTACGACCCCTGTTGTTGCGACCACCCTGGTCATTATCATAATCACTGTCACCACCTTGATCATCCTCATCATGGTCTTCATCGCCAACTTTTTTGCTTTTATTTTTGCCTCCCTTTCCCTTATTTCCATCTTCAGAGTCAGAGTCATCGTCAGAGTCTTTGCCTCCTTTTCCTTTGTTTTTCATGCCTTTCCCTCCCTTTCCATCTTTTGGCTCATCGTCCGACTCGTCTTTATCCTTATCGTCCTTTTTGTCGGACTTATCGCCCGACTCCTGGTCGCCCTCCTCAGAGGTGTCGGCGCTCTCACCGGACCTACTGTTGCGGCCTTTCTTTTGCAACGGTTTTGTTAATACGATTGCAATACATATGCAGAGTATTAGCAGAAACTGTAATAAAAGTTTTTAAAATATAAATATAAGTTTAACTGCAATAAAGTCTTGTTTATGGGAATTAAGAGACAGTTAATTATATTATAAATGTTTTTTAGTTAACTTACCAATAGTCTCATTATGCAATGGTACTAGGCAGTAATTTTGACAGTTTTGTTTTGCTTAAAAAGTTTTGTAACACTATTTGCATGAATTGACTTATTAGTTATGAAGTTGGTATTAATATTTCATTTTTCAATAACATTTTAACTGTTTTTTATAACAAATAATATTATTTATTAAAAATAATAGATATGTTAATAAATATATGAAATATTTTATGTCTAAAAAATTATTATTAATAGTTTTATCACAAACAAATTATGTGTTTGTAATAAACACATAGTTTTTTGCATGTGTTTGGGAAAACACTTTTCCCGATTATTTGAGTAATTATTTATTCATAAGTATTACTATTTGGTTGTGAAAGTAATAAATCATTTAAATTGTGGCTTTATAAACTCTATAATTAAACTATTATTTCGTATTTGAATGCAATTGTTTTCTACAATATGTAAGCTTAAAATAGATTTTTACCTCACTATTCATGGTAAAATATTTTTGTTAATTTAATTACTATATAGCATTTAATTAAATTGTAAACTCTTATTGCATTTATAAAATAAAATCGCAATTAATGTAATTAGTAGTAATGCTAGAAACATGAATAAACTTAAAATTTTATTATAAATATAAATTGTTATTCAAAAAGTTTAATCCCACTAAATATGAAATATTTTATTGAAGCATTACTAGCATAAGTTGTAATTTATAATTTAATACAAATATTTTATATTTATAAATATGTAGCAAGCATATAACGGACAGCTAATGAGTGGGTCATTTATGAAATTTATTTTATATTTTAAGATTTACAATTTATTTTTTTATTGCTTGCTAAATAAAGTTTTAAAAAATGTTATATCATTCACTAAAATAGATTCCAAAATTGAATATCTATTTTAAATAACATTTGAAATACAATTTTATAAAAAAGGAATTAAAACTAAAAATAATATTTTTCATTAAAAGTTAATATGTTAAAATTATTATTATTTTAAAAATCACTTATTCAATATAAATGACATTTATATCATAATGCATACCTATTACATAATTACCCTGTGTGCACCTGAATTATTTTATTTGTTCATAACTAATCTAAGCATTATTGAATATTATTATTTAGCAATATAATTTATTACAATAGTCAATTACTTTTAAAAACATAAAAAGTTCAGCAAAAAAATTATTACTCCTCGTCCTCATCATCCCCACCCTCCCTGTCCTTATCGCGCCCTCCCTTTCCACCCTTACCACCCTTTCCTTTCTTATTTTTGTGACCCATTGTATCCTTCAATGAGGTTTTAATACCAGTTTTGATGCCATCCCCGAGTTTTTCGCCGTATTCGTGGCCTAAGGCGTACCCGATATCATAACCCCTGTCCTCCACCTGACCCCTGTCCTCCTCGAATGGTCCGTAGCCTATGATTGGACCTATTTGTTGGGGGAGGGGGTGGGTGTGGGTGTGGGAGGAATGTTAGATAATTTGAAAATGATTTATTAAAAAATTATTTCAAATTTAATAAAAATGGATAGTTCAACTTTATAAAAAATACAACAAATATATAACCAATATTGTTATATTTTTAAATACTATTAAGACTTGTATATTAAATAGAAATTATTTATTACAGTTTACTAATTAAATTTGTGAATTATTATTATTCTAGTAAATAAGCTACTCATATAAATATAAAATTCAAAGTATATTAGTATATTATGCCTGTTAAATAATTAACAAATACCTTTATATCGTAAAAATCCACTACTCCTGCCAATAACATTGATAACCGGTTCGCTACGTCCACTCCACTTATCCCGTTCCCACACATCCCGGTCCTCCTGATAATCGCGATTATTTCGGTTGTTTCTGTCATTCCTATTATTCCTGTTGTTTCGTCTATTTTTGGTATCCCTTTCGTCATCATTATCTTCATCATCACTATCATCACTATCACCCTGGTCATCATTGTTTTTATTTTTGCGTGACCTGGTATGCTGACCAAGCACGTTTAATATGAGACTCAACGCGAGCAATAAATATAGTAACTAGGCGGGTGAATATATTAGAGTTAATATAATTGATCATTGTAATATTACATGATTTTTAAATATTTACTTTTGTGTCCATTTTATATGAATTCTCTGTAATGTTGTTAAGAATAAGATGTAAATACCGTTTAAATATTTATAGGTATTAATCACTGCGATGACCTTGCTTACCATTGAATGAATGAGATAAAACATGAAAAGACTTTATTTTTAAATAAATACATTAATTTATCATTATGGTAAACAATAATTAATTTTTACAAAATAACAAAATAAAACCCTTAAATATATTTATAAAGTTTGTTAATAGTTTCCTTTTAATACAAATATTAGTTTCTTATGAAGTTTATAATAAAACATTTTAAAAATATTTACAAAACTATGAATAAAAGTGTTTTAAAATTTAAATCTTTTGAAAAACAATATTGTATTTTATACACAAGTTTATCTAATATTAAGATTATTTTTAATCAATTAGTTGTATTTATTATGTCGTGTCAACCCTATTACCACATAATTATCAGGTAAATTTAATAATTAAATATTTTATATAAAGTTTAATTAAATGAATTATATATATTTCATGGGTCCTCCCTTTCCTCTTTATCGCCATTTCCCTTTTTACCTCTCTTTCCACCACTTTTGCTACCTTTACTTCTACTGCCCTTTTCATCGCCACTGTCCCCATCATCCTCGTCCTCGTCCTCATCGCCTTTACTACCTTTCCCTTTACCTCTCCCTCCTTTACCTCCCTTTCCCTCATTATCCTCCTCCTCATCACCAGAACCTCCCTTTCCTTTCCTTTTACTTCT